CACGCACGCACGCACGCACGCACGCACGCACGCACGCACGCACGCACGCACGCATACACATATACAGAGTGTCCTATTTTAATTTACTGAGACAAATATATCTCGGAAAATATGAAACGTACGGAAAAATGTTTCAGATAAAAATGGAACAATTTCGAGGGAACGTATTGTAGTCATGTTGTTTTTTTTCAAGATGGAAGCACTAAAAAATTTTTTTTACATAATATGATTCCTCTAATTATTCTGCGTGTAAAAGTAGATATTAAGGTAGTGATATAAAAAAAACATAGTTTATGAGATTATTTATACTTCATTCTGACATATTTTTCATATTGACATGAAATATTGAATAGCTTAATACCAAACTATTCATTTCTTTATATTTTATACTTAATATTTTTATATGCAGGATATTTAGAGGAATCATATTATAGAAAATTATATAATTATATTACAGAAAATTATATAATTCAATAAAGTGGAGATGATCTTCACATCTTTTTGGTTCCTCCACTTAAAAAGAAAAAAACTTGACCAAAAACGTCCTTCTTGAAACCATTCCATTTTTTATCTGAAATATTTTTTTGTATACTTTTCGAAGTATTTCGATGCGAAAGTTAAAATGGGACACAATGTGTGTGTGTGTGTGTGTGTGTGTGTGTGTGTGTGAAGAGGGCGCGCGCGCAAGGTAGTCTATTTTAGTTAATATAGTCAATTTTCATAAAGAAAAAAATTTGCTATGAACGCTAATTTTGTGCCATAACAGCAAATTCTATTTGTAAATATGTATCAAAATTATTTGCGGATATAATGAGTACTTATTTTTTCATACTCGCTACAAAAATTTGCAACGAATGCAAAATATTTGTCAAATATGTAAATTTGTTTGCTAAATAATAAACAGGAAACAAATTTAACAAATTTTGTAATCCCTTTTGTATTTATAGTAATTTCTTCTTTTTAAAAGAAGAAATTTTTTCTTGAAATTATTAATGATACGAAAAAAATGTTTTAAATCCATCAAATGCATCCATTTCGAAAAGAAACGTATTTTGATTATGTTGTTTTTCTTCTGGAGACCAAAAGAGTATGAAAGTAGTAACCTCTACTTTTTTTAATTATATGATTTTTTTCACATAGAATGATTCCTCTAATTTTTCTGCTTGTAAAAGTATTAAGATAGAGGTATCAAAAAATCAATTTTTTATGAAATATTTTATATTTTGTTTTAGCCCCCCCCCCTCTTCCCTCCCTTCCCTTTTAACATAAAATGTTAAATATTTCGTAATCTATTAATTTTTTATAATTTATTTTATTTAATATTTAATTACTTTTATGAACAGAATAATAAGATGAATCAATTGAATAATAAAATACAGTTTTTTTTTTTAAAGTATCCTTTTTGTCTACATACTTTTTTAAAGCAATTATGTTTTTTGAAGCAACTATATGTTTTGTTTACATCAATTGATTATCTCATTATTCTGTTCATAAGAGTATTAAGGTAATAAAAAAATTAATAGTTACAAGGTATTCAACATTTTATGTCAACGTATGTCAAAATAAAGTATAAAGTATCTCGTAAAGTATTAGTTTTTTTATCTCTCTTAGTATTTTGATATGCAGAATAATTAGAGGAACCATATTATGGTTCCTCTAATAAAATAATCATATTCTATTTAGGCCATGTTCGTATATTACTGTCAGTTGACTGTCAGTACTAAAAATCTAGTTTCCCTTACGTATACTATACTGACAACTGGCAGTAATATACGAACACGACCATAAAAAGTAGAGGTGACTTTCATATGTATTTTTGGTGCCTGTACTTAGAAAAGAAACAACATGACCAAAATACATCCATCTCGAAATCGTTCCACTTTCTAAAACATTTTTTCGTATCAATAATTTCGGAGAAAATGTATTAATTAAAATAGACTATCCTGTATACGTGTATATACATTTATATGTGACGTCCTTGTTCTGTAGACGTATCTAAAGTCACAGTAAAGTTTTACGTAACAAACGTTTGTCATATATTAAGTTGTTACATTAATTTTTTTCTCTACAATTTTTTCTCTTGAGTTTGTTATTTTACTATAATATAAAATTTTACTATAATATAAAAATAATTAGTAATAGATTAATTAAAGGTAGAAAACAATAATAACATAAAGAAAAAGATTTGTGTAACTATTTCTGTTTCTATCTTTTTCATATAAGGAAGATTATAGAAAGTATTACCTGTGTAATATAATTATTAAAAAATACAGTTCCTCTAAACGTTAACTTAAAGGAGATGTCACCTTTGTATTGTCCAACACAATGGGTACTTTCCATTTGATGACACAAGTCGACACAAGCGTCATTTTATCCTTGTTGATATTCAGAGAGTGACAAAGATAGAATGACACTTGTCGTGTCGAATGGAAAGCATCCCTTGTATCTTTTGGAAAACACGATCCTAAATTAATCATTGACCTTGCTCAAATACAATCCTTATTCTTGTATGTACATACATTTATTTATTCCATGGTATAAGAATATAAGAATATATTCCATTCTCAAGGATGCCAACCGTCTTGAACATAATATGGTTACTATTTCATCAATCAAAACCATAAATTTTAAAAAGGAACATAATTGCATGTGCATTCCACTAATTTTCGGGTAAATATTTGAAGTTGTTTTAGTCGCCGCCATTATGCGCAATGGAATACTTTATATATATTCTTATACGATGCTTTATTCCACGTGTCTGTACTATGGCCTGTGCGCGCGCGCTGGTGTGTGCAGACGCGTGGTGCGCGCGTATACGTGTGTATAAATGTATGGATATATAACATTAAAGACATTATATTTGTATAGTTGAATTATTTACGAATACCACTATTGTACAGCGCTGATCTGCTTTATATATTTGTAAAGTTATATCCATATTAATCAGTGTTATTAAGCGAATCACCTTTTCGCGCATGCAAGTGTAGCATCAACACTGCACTAATGTCGAATTTATAACGGTCCTGTTAAAGCCCTATTTTGAGTGTCTATAAAAATTATATTACTTTGTTGGAAAATCAATTAGTAATCAAGTATTATAGAACATTGTAGAAATTTTAAAAAGGCCATAGATCCTTATTATTTACAACGAATTCGACTGTCGAATGGACGCATTAGATGCGTCATTAAAGTCATTGTACATAGATTGACGTGAAAATATATGTTTAATATAAATATAGAAACAAGTAAAACCGTGAAATCTTTAACACACTTTATACTTACTAGGTAAAATATGTAGTTTATAATTTGAAATATTTGTATTTCACTTTTACATTCGAATAAATCAGTATATAACGGCTTTAATGTGCACCAGTGCGTTCAATCGAATTCGCCATTAATCTTTTTGTTGCCAGATCTGGACAAATCCTAAAATTACAAGACCTCTCTTTTACATTCTATATACATTATCAGATTTTTCGGGCGTTGCAGTACATGCGTATGCGTGAAAAGGTGACTAGTCTACATCACTGATATCAATCGAAATTGGAATATTCGTAACTATTTTATTTAACTTCGATCACTTTCGGAATCTTGTTGTCTTTTGTATAATGCTACGTTGCTCTCTGTATAGTCCATTACACGCCGCTGACATTGTCTCTTGTATTGTTGTTGTTTATGATAAATCTTGAACGCTCCTTTTATTGTTATAAAAGCTGCACCACCCTACAGATATAAGATACAGAAAAGAAATATACAGGGTCCCCTTTCTACCGCATTTTCTTTTAAATACGTATTCTTGAGGTAATTTAGAGAACAAAAATCCTGAAAAAAGTCGAGATTATAATAGTTCTTAACTTAATGATTAAAGGTCTCTAATCACAGAGTCTGACATTTCACGCGCTCGGGCATGATGAAGTGTCAAGTAAAGATGCTCAATGAGATCTCTCTAATCAAGTTCAAAATTATCGTACAAATACAATGATATTTTTATCAAGAAATTGTTCTTACTTTTATATAGAATTTATTACGTTCGCACAATTAATATCGCAACATATCACAAAATGTCAATTCAATAGTGAGATATTACATGTGGTAAAGTAATACTTTTATCTAGATACGTTCCAATGATGAAAAGTATCTAGATATAATATCTAGATACTTTATCTACCTAAGTTTATTACCTAAATCCTTATAGGCAAATACCTGTATCTGAGTACTTTTTCCTACTTTTGTGTTGCTTTTGATTACTTCATCGCTTAGGTAATTTCAGTCGATAATATTTAGTGAACGATAACTAACGAATCTCAGAGGAATCTCAAAGGAAGAGAGTGGCTGGTTACGTTTCTTCTGATTGGTCCCAAGTATGAAAGCTCTATTATATAGAATATATTACGGATGCAGCATAATTCATCACGTTAGCAATATTTTGTAATCTCTATATTTTTATCATCATAAATTGGAAATTGGTAAATCTTTTCCTTTATATACAGTCAACCCCAAGTGACCTTGATCTTGACTTTCAGAGAGATCAAAGTCATTGATCTTTTTTCTCGTTCATTAAAAAATGAACAAAACAATTTTTATGAATGGTAAGCAATTATTAAACACGAGGTACATATTTCAGTAGTATGGGACGAGTCTCATTTCACGTGATGTTTCACCTTGCTCCTAGGCAGAGCGAGATGTGGGATGAACATCATTTCGCGTAGAAAGTCGAATGCCACTAGGCAAGAGAGGGAGCGATGAAGTTTCGCAAGAAAAGTTGAACGTCTCTAAACAGGAGGGAGGTGGAGTTAATCTCGCTTCATGTGAAAAGTCGAACATCTCGAAGCACAGGAGGAGATGAAGTAGACCTGGTATTTACAATAAAATGTTTACAATAGGACATCCGACTCCGATATATTATCAAGGTCATGACCTCCAATAGGTTTTAATCGGTGCTTGTTATTTGTTAAAAAGTTATTAATAAAAAAAGTTCACTGCTGTACGGAACAAAATAAGGTATATAACTGTATTGTTCCATGAATTTTCGAATTCCACGTGAAGCGAAGTCCACGAATCCACTCCATCTTCCGTCCGTCTCGGAGCATACAATTTTTCACGCGAAATGTTATCTGCGCACACCGTTAATATTAAAAATAATTAAAAAAGTAACAATTGTAAAATAATTAGAAAATTAAAAAATTTTTTTTCGTTAATATATTTTGAGATAGACAAATGTATATAAACTACAACATTACGTTTATATTAAAATCATTCAGTACGTAATAGATGAGCTGATTGTGTTCAAAATATTGCAGCCCTATTTAGTTAAATCAGAAAAAGAAACACCATGATGTAAATATGATGGAGAAATAAAAAATCTGATTCTTTATTTCGTTCATATTTACATCATATTTGCATCCAGGTGTTTCTTTTTCTGATTTACTAAATACGACTGACAAGTGAGCGGATTATGATTCAAAAAATATTTTGGATCACAATCGACTTATCTATTATGCATTGGATGATTCTAATATAAAATGTTGTTTTAAAGTTTATGTACATTTATCTGGGAATATTTCAACGAAAAACAAATATTTTTAATTTTTAAGTTAGTTCTCACTTTTTTAATTATTTTTGTGTACAACTTATTTACATATATTCCTTCACATACAATTTATTATCCTTTCACATATAATTTATTATAATAATGATGCGTTGGATGTCACATTTCTGAAAATGTATGTGGGGTATTGATATAGTCGAAGACTAAGATCTCTGGAGTAGTACTCTAACTTCGTTAACGCTATAATCGCACGCTTGTCTGGACACTTTGGCTTTCGTCCCGTCTTGATCATGTCTCGCGCAAAAGTCAAACACTAGTATCAAAATCGACATCTGTTTATTTTGTCAAATTTTACACATATATTTATCTAACTTTATGTGGCATAAAATAAAAAAAAATTTACAAATCATTTATGCTTATTATGGCATTACGTAATATTTAGAGTCTTGAAATTTTTGCATTTGAATTTTTGTCTTTAAATTACTCAAGAATACATCTTTAAGAGGAAGCAGACGTGGAAAATCCTATATTATCATGAATACGCACATAACAGAAAATTATTTATATGAAAATTAAATAACTTATAAGATAAATATATAGCAGTTTAAACAAGATAGTTCTTTAATTATATAAAAATAATTAATTTTTGATAATTATGAAATCATTTTGTACATACTGAAAATGATATATTTTAGTAAATGTTTTTCAAAAAGAATTTAAAAAATACATACCAATAATGTTCTCTGAAAATTGGAACTTATACTTTCGAAGAATATCCTTCCACACAGACTAGCAATGGTTGGCAATAAAAGTGCGCCACAAAGAACACGCGTTGCAGATACCGGATCATTCATTGGTGGTATATCTTCAGATTGTATACTTGTGTCTTCGTCAGTATAACTGTAATAATTATATATTAAAAGCATTATTTAATAATAATAATAAATGTTACATATTTATTAAGAATAATATTGTTAATACAAACCTGCTCGGTAGAAAATGTCTTAAAATAGGAACTTTAGATGCATGTCTCCTCAAAAAACTAAGGGCTTGATCTTCCCAACGAAGCATTTTTCCCAAAACTAACATAATTGGAATGGTTGGCAAGCCAACCAGTAGAACTAAAGGATCGGCCTGTTCCATCATAGTAAGACCGTCCTTGTGACCCACTACTTGCATAACAGTAACTGCACCATAAGTCACAGCTGTCCAATATATAGAGCCAACTACAATACCAGCAGCAATAAAAGGACATACTCGGAAGATAACTGTGTCGATCGTATCGAGTACTATCACTAATGGACCTGCAATTAATTTGCATATAAGATACTACTCTACATATGCAAAGAAAATTATTATTATATATATATATATATATATATATATATATATAATAATTTTCCTAATTTTTTAGCGGTATCAGGGGCTTGTTTTTTAAAAAATATACATTTTCTTGAAAAATGTTGCAGACAGAAGTCATAGGCTTTTAAGTGATGCACTAAAGATAGTGTGATTGCGAACGCATAAAGGAACCGCAATAGTGTCGTTGCGCTTGGCTTAGCGCCGAGACATTTCCGTATCTCCTGACATTGTTAAGGTAATGTAAAAATCACAATTAAAAGTTTTAAATAGATTAAATAGATTTTTCCTATTTTTGATTGCAACTGTCTCGAGAGCTTTTCAAAGCATTATAATAAAAATATTTTTCATTAAGTACTTTCCGAGTTATGAGGTTTGAAAGTTACAGTACTGCCGACATTAGCATTCAAGGTATCTGACCGACGGTTAAAACATTTTGAATATTGCTCAGAGTCATAACTTATACAATATATGAGATTAAAGCCATTGGAGGTTGTTTCTCTTATTTTTATTTTAAAGGTATTTTTCATTAAGGTTAAAGCTATTGAAGGTTGTTTTCAAAGAGAACAACCTCTAATGATCTTGACCTTAAAAATTACCTATTATGTTTTGAAAAGCTCTCAGCTACAAGAAAATGTAAAAAAAAAATAGAAATTTCCATTTAAAACCACTTTGTGATTTTTACGTTATATTAACATCACTATCCAAGATCACGCTAATATTTCTATCTAATGCACCACTTAAAACTGTATAACTTTTGTCCGGAACATTTTTCAAGAAAATGCACATTTGTTGAAAAATCAGCTTGATATCATTGGCAGAACGACAGGGAGAGGGGATTACCATGGAGATAATTTAAAGTCTCCTTTTTTTTTAAATATTTATTGCAAAAAGTATATATATTTTTAATATTTCTGAAATTAATCACAACTTTAACATTTAAAAAATATTTTTTAATTTAAAAAAACTAGATACAAAAAATATAGATCTTATTATATTATTCTTTTGTTATGTTAATATAATTAAACTAAAATGTTTTCTAAATTATATGTATTTAATACATTTTCAATGTAATAATTTAACTAATAATTTAATATCTTTATCTTATTTGATTTTTTAAAAAATTTTGTCTGCGGTGTGATAATAGTGCCCCTTCTACCTCCTCCCTCTCCCCATTAACAAAGTTCTATCCAATGTCTATTACAGTTGTTGTTACATTCTGTAGAAATATGTATGTCTATCTGCCTGCTGCTGTGTGTGCGCGCGCGCGCACATATATGTGTGTGTGTGTGTGTGTGTGTGTATGTGTGTGTAAAATATTCACCCATGTTTGGATAAACTATAATATATTCTGTATTGCATTGTGGGCATGCTACAGCATGTCCAGCATGACCCTTTTGCTTCTCATCAACCCATCTTTGGATACAACCCTGGTGAACCCATTTTGTAGTGCCTCGGCAATGACATGGTTTAACCCACGCTGCAGTTGCGTCATCTTCATCAGTTGCAAAACATACCCAACAATATCGCCTGCTAAATAAAAAGATTAATATTATAAATAGATATAGTATCAGACAACACACAGTCACTATTGTAATTTACTACAAGATTCTAGAATAACAAAAAATTTAAAAATATATGTAGCTTGGAGAAAATTTGTTGATAAATAAAAATGTATAAAATAAATAGAGAGAGAGAGAGAGAGAGAGAGAGAGAGAGAGAGAGAGAGAGCCAATACATCAAATTGGAATTTAATCAAGTCAGTAGTCTAGTTTGTCTGTACATTATCTTTTCATTTTGAAATATATACATGTGTGTGTAAAAATTGTTCAAAACAATTAGCATGAACTTACTCTTCTTCTGGAGTCAACGATGGCACACTAGATGTAATTTGATTCGGCGAAGATGGCTCATCGGTGAGGATTGGTCCAACAGATAGGTCATAATCTGTTACATCCCATGCATTTTGAGAATCTTCTTCTAGCGATGCTATTTGTGCCGTAGCTTGAGAATCAGATATTTCTGTTATAAAAAAATAACATATACAGTTCTGTACATTAGGCAAAAAATTTCATTCATTGTATATTACCATTGTTAGGGTCAGTAGTTTGTCTATCGGATCTCAAATTTGTACTTAGTCTTCTTAAAGCTTCTTCTATGCTCGGAAGACGTCTGATGTTGGCCCTGGTTATACCCGACTCGATTCGTACTATCCTTCCACGGCTATCAAGTCCATAGGAGATATGCGACATATTATCGTCCGACATTGTATCTCGGCAAAAGCTCACAAGTTCACCATCTTAAGAAAACACATTATTAAAACAATACTTTATTATTGCTACAAACATATCGCTCTATAAACATGATTTGAGATTGTTTTTAAATTGTACAGCATATTTACTTTTAATGGATAAATTTTTTCATTACTTTTGATATCCGATTGCAGGAAGAGAGGTTATAATGAGCAGAAGATTTTATCATACAGTTACACTTTTGGCATTTTACTACGCAAATCATGCAAATACTATTATGCAAGTATTTTTTTGCACACTACATAAAATGGTCATCATTATGTGTGACATAATTGCTTTATTAAAATACTGTTCACAAACATTATCTCATACCATATCAAAAAGCACGAATACACAAATTTGATTAAACAATAATATAAGGACGACGATACATCAATATCTTAACGAAAAAATTGCGATTATCACTACTATCAAATAACATAACATACGTAAGCGGGCTGAATGCAGCCATTGTGTGTGTAGTAATGTAGTTGTTTTTCGTCGATTCACGATAAATGCGCGTCACGCATAGCACGAGTTAAAACAGTCGGGAATTGCAATTACAAGGCGTATAAAAACGCGAACGTTTCATAGAGATTTGTGCGGATCGGTAACTTCTTTCATATATGATCATACAAGGGTTATATGGGGTTTTACGTCAGGATACGACACAAAACTAATGCTTTCGTAAGCGAATGCGAAAAAAGGCGATAGCTTCTGGCAATTTGTCACGGTATTTGTATACATTTCAGCGAGTAACATTGCGCAACGATATACAATATCTCAAGAATTTTGCAACGATATATGTACATATGTATATATACCCGTATGTGTACCGCAAGTTTCATTTAATTAATAATTATTTAATATTTTCTGCTTGGTTAGGGTTATCAGCCATACTCTTAAGCCGGAAACACAATAAAAGCACAGGCAATAGGAATAGGAAATAAAAAAAATTCAACCTATCAGAAACCATGTATATTAGAATGGATGCTTTTTAATAGGTTGAAATATTTTATTCCCTAATCCTATTATGGCTACGGTTGATGCTATAAACGCTTCGAAGCATTTTTTGATTGGTCAATTAGTCAAAATTCCTTCTTCCGATTGGTCAATCAAAAGCTTCGAAGCATATTTTATTGCGTCAAGTGGACCTTATCTGTGCTTTTCATTGTTTCCAGCTTAAGGTTATATTCACACAACTTGCATAACCGTATAAACATTAATATTTTTAATGCGTTAAAAAATACGAGATGACATAATAAACTAACATATATTGGGTCATCTAAAAAGTATCCGCGGTTTTTTGTCACTAGATGTGTGTTGATGGTCATATATCTAGTGACAAAGTACCGCGGATACTTTTTAAATGACCCAATATATAATAAAATTATATATATAATTTACATTGAATTATTTAAGCATTAAAGATCTAGCTTCGACCGTTATAGATTTGAATATTCTTACTTAGTATTTATTACATTACGGTCTTAATAAAATCATAACTATACAATATATAAAATTTTATTATGTATCTATTATATATTATGCATTAGTTTCTTGCTTTTCATTGGCTGCGTTCAACAGAGTCAACACTGTTGTGCAACCGTAATTGTCTGCTGAGATAGAATCATTCTTCTAGATCTAAAAGTATAATTCAATCAACGCGAAGAAAATAGTTGCAAAATAAACGTTCTGTTGGATTAGTCAATAGCTGCATTCAGCAGATTCAACAGTTCAGTGAGCGCTCGCTACTATTGATGTATTTTTCCAAATCTAAAATGCTGATTGGATGATCTAAAAGAATACACCAATAACAGCGAGTGCTCACTCAATTGTTGAGTCCGTTGAACGCAGCCATTGGGTGCATTCAGAACGACAACCGCTCACTGAGCGCTCAGTGAGCTCTTGCACCTGATTGGCATATTCCATTAGATCTAAAAATATAGACCAAACAGATAGTTCACAAGAGCTCACTGAGCGCTCAGTAAGCGATCGTGTTTCTGGATGTACCTATTGAATTATTATGTGCTCATAACGACAGTTGCACAGATATTTTACATAGTAAAAGTTACATAACTGTCGATACGAGTTATAGGGACTGCAATGAGTTATAGGAACTGGTATGGCTGCTTTCAGATTTCTTTCTGATAAAACAAATTGTAGAAAAAAAAGTTTGAATTTTAAGAAATTGATTGATATCACTGTAGACAATAACATTCGAATTATATAGTTTTTTTATATTTCAAATATATTAAAAATATGTTAAATATAATTACAAATTGCAACTAAAAATTTCACTTTATTGCTAGAGTACGAATAGATATTAAATAACGGCAAATAATTTTTAGCGTTTATTTTTCCCGATTATTATAGCGATTTCTTGATACAATCTTGCATATAATCTACTGCGATCATTTATATACAGTGTTCTATTTCTTGAACTATAGAAACAAACTGCATATTTTCAGTTTTTTTTCTTTTAGAGAAACATTATAAAATTTTAACATGTATGTATAGGAACGCGATTTTTATGCATTATCTATAAAATGCTGCATCAATAAATAATATTGAAAATTATGTGCATAAAAAAGGTGGAGAAAGATATTAAATAAATGGTATTAAAAATTGAACCTCCTTCTTTTATGAATTCTCCTAGTATCGCTTCCCAGAAAAAAAAACGAAGTAATATTGCAATCTTTAAAAAAGGATATCTCATCGAACATCGATAGATAATGTCCGCGAGCATCAAGATGTTATTCGGACTTCGGTTTCATATCTTCTTTGTAGTGCAGTAGCACGAGAGAGAACAAAAACACACCAGCCATCATGGAGAATGCACTTATGTAGTATGGAAATGCGCTCGGTATAAAGCGTTCATATTGTGTGTGTTGCAATGGACGCACAGAAACTTGTGTTGTACTATAAAGATGGGTCAATCCGATGCGCGTATAGTCCACCTTAAATTGGTATACCCCGTACACATCAGGGATCTTAAATCTGCCCTCGTAGCGACCATTTCCTACTGATTTCATAGTCATACGCACGAACGGGTCGATTCGTACAAATTCCAGCTGCAGATCGTTTGTCTCGTAAGGCACCCACTTGCCATCCGACAGTCGTTCAACTTCGATAGAATACACCACGTTGTCCATGATCGTATATGCGGTTGGCGGCTGCGTTTCGCCGACTCGATGATGATGAACATTCGACACCCGTATGACACCATTCTCCTTGAACACCCATTGTGTCATGGCCTTGGCTACCACTTGATTGCCAGATTTCTCATATCTTTGACCATCTGCAAACAATTGATCTTTTTTAAATCTCATACAGATATTTTCAATAATCAAGCAACAAAATTTAATTGAAGAGATAGCGATTATTAAGAAATTTCAGAGGTAAATAAGAGGTAAATAAAAATATCTTCTTTTTGTTGCTACAGAACTTTATATACTTTTACCTTGTCCCTTTTGAATAGGACTAGTAAATGCTTCGTCACTGAAGAAAAACAGAGAACCCGAGAACAGAACTCGGGCATTATTTCTTGCCTGTAGAGCCGCTATTAATAAAGTATTTTTGCCAACACCATGTGGATACTCCTTGATTGGCTGATCTGGATAATAGGTATATGCTGAAGTAGATGCTGATAATAAACGTAAAATTAAAGGATTATCTGTGTCTGCGATTAGTCCGGTTCCTTGATATAGCAATGGGGGGATGTTCTTGCTTCCAACAATAATTGGAGCATCTATTAGATTCGCTGGATCTGCTACTATAGTAGTGTGTTGACCACTATCAGAAGCATCATAGTTCATATGATCGATTACAGTGGAGCCTTCCTCATCTACTTCTAAGCCACATTCCGAAGCTAATTCATGTAGAGCATCACCAGAATGTGAGGAGCCAGCAAGTAGTACGTTTCCGCCATTGTCTATAAACTCCGTTATAGCGTCTACACTTAAAGCACCACCAAACTCTTCCACTGTAGGTGCAAATATTATCAGATGTTCATATAGATATTCGCCGTATTTGGAAAGCTGCAAAGTTGCGTCGTCAGCTGACTTGAAAGTTAATGTATAACCACTTTCTGTAACAATTTTAAAACATATCATTTAAAGCCAATAACATTACAATGCTATATTTTCCTGCTTGCATTTTATTAAATTACTGAAAATTATGCATTTTAAACTGTTCTCATTCAAATGCTACTCAAAAATCATTTTATCCTTGTTTATCTAGAGAACATTCGAATAGGAATCTGAATGTGTTCCTGTATGGTGCAATTCTAATAATTTATTAATTTAAAACAAGCAATCCAGTGAAAGAAACATGCGTTATATGCTGCTGGGTTAATATTACATTAATTCTGCCAAATTTATTCAATTACTTCTTAATAAGTGTCATTACAAATTTTAAACATATATACATATATACATATATATATATATGTAGACATTAAGTAAATAAGTAAATAATATTAAATAATATTAAATACATTAGATTACGGATTTAGAATATATCTCATCTAAAATCTTAATAAAAATCTACTCATTCGATTCGTTTTCACTGAAAACGAAAGAATCCGGCAGAAAAACGTGGCAATCGGCCTCGTGAGTCGAGGTTATGAAGTTCGAGACTTTAAAAAAGATTACACTTTAAAGATTGCATTAGCAATTAAGAATGAATTTGTGTTTTTAAAGCAGTGAATTTGTGTTTGTGAAGCAGAGAATTTATGTAATTAATGCAGAACGTATATATAGCGCTATATCGAGTCAGGATGACAGCTATCTTAACCTCTAAAAATCTTGAATTTCAACGCTATAACTCGATTTACAAGGCTGCTCACCGCATTTTTCTGCCAGATTCTTTCGTTTTGAGTGAAAACGTGTCGAATGAACATATTTTTATTAAGATTTTAGATGAGAAGAAGGGGGTATTCCAAACAATTATCGATAATTTGTTATAAGTAACAATTTTTTACTCAGAGTATGAGTGGAAAAAAAAAATGAAATAGATCGAAACATCTATTAAATATTATTCTCTACGCCCTCAGACGTAGTTGATATTCTACACATATGTACATTTAATATGTCCCTGATAACGTGTAATACGTGAGAAACATTGCTAAAGACAGCTGCCAACGATTCGAACGTCAGAGACGATTAGAAATAACAGACAAAGTGCGAATACCCTGCAACATCTTGAAGAATATTGAATGAGTCTCCTTGATAGCGAGATTGTCAAGCAGAACTAGGATCGGGCCGCCGGCATTCGAGCCGGCGAACACAAGGAACAAGCAGAATAACCATCCTACGAGTCTCATCGCGCACCAATTATGACGAAATATTTGCCACGATACACGCCGATACTGCCGAACGTCTTCTTCTTCGGTAATAAAATAAACAGAGAGAAACCCGGCACACCAGTGCGATGTTAATCGCGCGCGACACGTGTATCCAATGACAGTATATCTTTAGAATGAGAATATTGGTAAAGCTGTACACTCATTGGATATCACGTGTCGCGCGCGACGAATATCCGTTTGGTGTGCCGGAAGCATAAGGCTCTGCGCACAATGGAGAAAATATTAGGAATAGGAATAAAGATTAAGATTTCAACCTACAAACCGTGTATTCCGATGTAACTGATATCTGATAGGTTGAAACCTTGATGCATAGTTCAGACTGGACGCAGCAAGCGTCAATCAGTGGAGCAGCGACCAATGAACGAGGTGATATTTTTTTACACCACTGTAAATATCGCCTCGCTGGTTGGTTGCTGCTTCGCCGTTTGACGTTTGCGGCTT